CACACACAGCACTACAGTCTGAGATATACACTCCACATTCACACACAGCACTGCACTCACACACACTCACACACAGCACTGCACTCTGAGATACACACTCCACACTCACTGACATGTACTGCTGTCTGAGAAACATTCTCTGTAAAAACAACAGTAAATACCCTCCCCTCTCGTACATGTACATTGTATAGTCCCATACAGTACACACTCATTGCATACACACAGATGAGCATTCTCCAGACTCATGGGCTGTGTGCTGATATGTATTCAGGGCACGCTACAGATCTCTCACCATCACATCTGGTTTAGACACGCAAACTCCATTATTTCTTCCGCAAAAATGAAAGAGAGAATGAGAATGACCTTTCAGGAAAACACTTCCTGGCCAATCCATCCTATCCAGGTGTAGAGAGAGAGAAGAGAAGAGGGACAAGAGCCGGCAGCTCTTCGTTCTCTAATAACCCTCTTCGCGTATTCATGTATTTATAAGATGAATTAATAATTGATTCAAGCGAAGATTTTTTTTTTTTGCCCTGAATGTTCCAAAAGGACAGAGAAATGGCAGCTGCACAATTCCTTTTATCGGAGGACGTCACTGGGCCCATTTGTCGGAATAATCCCACCTTATCTACATAGTCTAATAATAATTATGGGGATGCTGCCGTAGCGGTCCGGCCTCTGTGCAGTGGGCTTTTGACACTGGGCAGTGGTGCAGCGCGAATGGCTGTTTCTGTGTACGCGCTGGCTGGCTGGGGTTTAGCTGTGGAGTCTTGCCAGGGATCCTGATGCAGAGTTAAAGGGTTATTGCCGTGATAATCACAGCCCTCACAGAGGCATGCCGCCCAGAGGCTTGGTGACAGGGAGCAGCCGCGCGCTGATTTATCCCGACCCTGGACCGATGACACCCAGCCCAACCCCCACGCGCACACCTGGCCAGCCCGCTGACTGAAGGCCAGCAAAGCGCCCCCACTCAGGCGGCACGGCGAACGTGCGCTCCCGCATCCGCTGTGCCAACCGAAATCCCTCTCTCCGGGAGGGAAAAATGAAAGGAGAAGGGAAAGGAGCACCCCGCCATGTAAGTATCCCCTCGTCGATAACACTGACGAGAAAACATTGGCAGGCGTTACACAGTGCCATGAAAACAAGCAGTTTTATAGGCACTGAATAAATCTGAGTGATGCACAGTGATATTCCTCGCAGCGGAAAGCAGGCTCTCAGCAGCAACACTCGGGGCTCTCTTCTGCCTCGGTGGAGCTCAAAGCAACACCCCCTCCCCCCATCCCGGTGTGCCCTCTGTCCTCCCTCCACTCGCTACAGATTCTGGGGGGAATTCGCAGCCAAGCCGCGTGCCAGCTCAGCGGACAGTAGAGATTCCTCTGCTTTTCCCTCTCCAGTGGTGCTGAGAAGCCGCGAGGAAGCAGCCAAAGTTATAAAAAAAGATGCCGATTTGAGTCCTGGTATTGATTTCTCCATCCATTCCCACTTGCCTTTCTGTTCTTTTCCTGGCATCAAAGAGAAAAGAAGGCCGATCCGCTGGAGACCAGTCCGAGCTGTCCAGAGCTCCTGTCTTGTGCTTGTAACGGGAGTTTTTTCTACAAGGGAGATGAGAGGTGCAGAAGGCTACCACAAAAACAGCCTCAAGTCCTCGCCAAAAACAGAGGCAGATACTCTGGGTCATAAAGGGGAGTCTGTCTCATGTTTTCTCACAGCGCAACAGTAAACACCACTCAAAACTAGCTTTCACCGTGAGACAAGACACCACTGCCAATTCCAAATGAAGTAGGTATGTACTGTAATAAAACTGGCGATTCTGTTTAGTTAAAACAACAAGTGTTAGCCTGTAATGCACGTTGTTTCCCTGAATAAAAAGCACAATTCTCTTTCATGTGCCTTGCCTCTGATCTCACCACAATAAGTCAATACTGGACCACAATCAGTAACATCACAGCTGTGGTATCATTGTCAATGACTTTCCCAGGCTGAACGAAAGCTTCTTCCTTGCTTTTTCTTAGGTTTTTAAAAACCCGACGAACCCACTCGGACTTGGCGCCGGTGTCCCGTGCTCTCAATGGACCAAAAGCAGCTCGTAATCAATCATCTAAGCTCACAGCTTTCAGAGGGCTTCTTTGCCAGTCCGTGTGTCTGCTACAAAGAAAAGCTTTTACAAGATATCTCCCTTCCATGACCATCCATACATTCGATATCAAATCCAGCTGAAAAAATGATACTAGGAACTCTGCATTCATGCAAACAGAACTGGGGGATAGCAGGTGTACTGCTAGCGCTATCACTGCAGATTCACTGTGCAACAGGGCTGTTGCACACATCACTGCAGGGGGAAGCAGGTCTTCCTTTGTTTCTAGGGGCCCCTTGGACAGCCTGCAGGGACTCCAAAGGCTTCCCTCAATGCCTGGCTGAGAAGAGACACTATGGACAACTGAGCGATGTGAATCCACCAACCTCCACTTCTCAGATCCCCAGCCCACCGCTCCAGAGGGGCCAGTCCAGCACAGCTCTGTGCTTGAGCCCACATCACTGCCTCCCTGCACATCCACAGCGCCCTGCACCACTGCAGCCCTCACACTTGGGAGGAGAGATCAGGGCTTGATATTAAAGCGAAGCTACAATTTATCACTGGCTGATTTCAATCTAATAGATTTCTTTATTTACATGGTGATTTGTAGGAAAAGCTCAGGAGAGAATCTAAGATCCTCTGCAAAAACAAAAGCCAAGGAAAAAAATTGTTCCATGGCTTTCAGCTCAAAGCTCCCCACTGTCTGTTACGTTAGGCTGTGGACTTTAATGTGTCCTGCAGCAACAGCAGAGCAGCAATGAGTTTGGTCTCTGCTACAACATATTTCATGACTCAAGCCTCCCAGCAACTTCTACAGATTACATGACATCTTCATACTGCAATGTGTCTCACAACTAAAACACTCTTGCACGTGCAATGAGAGAAAAAGCACAGAAGTCCAAGGATCTCTTTCAGCGGACATGATGGTTTCTTTCGAGAAACAGATGACATTCTTGGATCAGTCAGCTACTAAGTACTAAATGAGCTAGACGGGTTGAATGGCCTCCATTCGCCTGTAACCTTTATGTTCTTAGAGCCCTGTGCACTTCAAGAGGGCGCAGGGGGTGTGGTGAACAATAAGGCCTGGGCAGGACACAGTCTCTCAGGCAGTCTCATGCCTGCGGGAGGAGAGTGGCCCCGGGGGGCCTCAGTGTGGGTACCGGGATCCCACAGCGAGAGGGGGCTGCTCAAACTGTGGCGCTGATCAGCAATGAGATTCTCGCAGGTTTCCTAGAAACCCATCAATCCTGGAGGCGAAACCGCAACGCGTGAGCTTCTCGTGTTTTTAACCAGAGCTCAGAGGGGAGGGGTGTGTGCGGGGCGGACTGAGGCTGAGCCCGGCATGCTCGTGGGGCGGAGCGGTGGCTCTGTGGCTCGTGATCTGCGCCTGTGGCTGGAAGGTTGCCAGTTCGTATCCCGCGGCCGGCAGAGGAATCCTACTCCGTTGGGCCCCTGAGCAAGGCCCTTCACCCTGGCTGCTCCAGGGGCGCCGTATAAATGGCTGACCCTGCGCTCTGACCCCCAGCTTCTCTCCCTGTCTGTGTGTCTCATGGAGAGCAAGCTGGGGTCTGTGAAAAGACAAATTCCTGATACAAGAAATTGTATAGGGCTGATAAAGTGATCTGATCTCATCTCCTATCTCATGCCAGCCCGGAGGAGGATGGCTGTGGGGCCAGGGGAAGCGCCGCAATGGGGTGGCGCAGTCCAGCAGCAGTCGCAGCCAGGGCACTGCCGGGCATCGACGATGGCTAAGCCCCCTCAGCAAACGACTGCACAAGGACACACGGCGAAGACTCCAGCAAGCGCTCAGGATCACAGAGTTTGGACGCCAGGGGCTGTCAGGCAATGAAAAGCCTCTTTTTTGATGCGCATTAGCTGCCCTGACCCAGGGGAGAGCAATGCTGACCACTGTGTGAATATCAACGCATGCACAGGAGCGGGAAACACCTAAAGCCCCTTGAATCACATCATCTAATCACACAACTCAGGAAGGAAAGCAGAGCAGAGAGCAACACTGAAAAAAGCTGTGTTTTAACTGTCGTACAGAGCAAAGCACAGCGAGAAACATCTGCTTCAATATTTCCAGCCTGAGGAAATTATTTACACCTCAGCTTAGATCAGACCTCTTGTTTAAAGCCCAGCTTTTTTATGAGTTGAATTGACAAGAGCTAGAGAACAGCCATAGCATGCTTTGGAATTCAAAATGTTTTGTGACTCCCCCCCTAGAAAACTGCCAAACCTCCGTGTTTTGGCAGAAGCAAAGTTTCAATGATGAGAACAAATCTTGCAGAAAGACTGCACAGAGAGGAAGAGCAGAAAACACCATCAGGCGCGCAGAGGTGCTCTGCTGCGTCCCTCACTAAGCCAGGGCTGGAGATGGCCTGCGGGGCTGCCGCCGCCGGATGTGGGCAAGCAGACTGGCCTCGGCGGGAAAGGAAAGAGTGCCACTGTCCACTTCTCGAGCACTGCAAACACGGCACACCGATTAATAAACAAGCGCACGGTCTTATGGGGCAGCGAGTGGGTCGGACCCAATCCGACAGACCTCAGAGACGACAGAGGCACGACTGAGCCCTAACATGGTGAAACAAGCGATAGGACAGCTCTGACAGTCTGCCCTGCCTGGCCCCTCTGTGCAGTGAGCACAAGACAGCCGGACGGGGGGCAGAGGCTCTGCACCCCACAGCACAAGCGGGAACCCCGGGGGAAGACAGGGAGCCAGCCCTCTTCCCGAAACTGCGCACACATCTGCCGGTGTCGAGGGCTCCGGCACCCGCTTAAGTGTCGGAGATAGCTCACCCAGGACCGGAGCGTTCCCGGCGATCCCTCCTCATCCGTCTGCCCTCCACTTTGGCCGTCCCTCCGTCCCTGTCTTCTCCGCGGGTTTCTCCAGGCAGCGTTATCCGCGTGGCTCTCCCGGCATCGGCGGCGGGGCCGAGCCCAGCGCGACGCTCTCGCTCCTGCTGCCCCGGCTCTCCTCTCGTTCTATCTCTCTCTCTCTCTCTCTCCGGCTCGTGTATCTCCCCTACCTGCGCACGGCACAGCCCACCCTCCCCCCCTCCCCACCAAAAGGCTGGTCGTCTGCCCAGGCAGCGGGGCTCTGTCCGGGGCAGGCTGGAGCGGACAAGCGCCCCCGACGGGCTGTCGGGCTGCGGGCTGCCAGTGCGCGCGGCGGCGGTGTGCGAGCCAGCGATGCTGCTCCCAGGCTGCTGCTGTCGCTGCCTCAGCTGCTCTGGCTCTTTAGCTTCACAACTCGCTCCACCGACAACCAGGGGGCTTTAGGGATCCTCTCGCAAGTGCACAAAGGGATCAAAAGCGGAGAGAGGAGGCTGTCTGGGGAAGGAATTAAAATGGAGACAGAGCAGGAGGATCCTAGCTGTGAAAGGGAAGAACCTGAAACACGCGGAACTGCACAGAAAGGCTGCTTCTATTATTATGGGTGCGTACGGTCTTTTTTTTTGTTTTGTTATTTTTTTAAAAAAGCGCCCATCAACAACGTAGGCGCCATGGGGCGCCGCTTTAGCAAGAATTGTAGTCAATAATTGATGAATAACAAGTCAACACCACTCTCCCAACCCCCCCCCCCTCAAAAACATCTCTCTCCTCACCTCCTCCCAAACGCTGAACCGGAAGGTCAAATCATTTCAAAATTTTACCTGAAGGGGGAAAGAGAGAGGGAGGAATTGGAGCTTTTCAGGGACATCATCTGAAAGGCTTAGCATGATTAAGAGGCGTAAAAGCCAGAGACTCATTCGAGTTCAGCTTTCCGGAGGCAGCACTGTTCCTTAGACAATAATGCTGTTCTGTGCTCAAGATCAAATCTGTTCTCAGTGCTTGCTTTTCAGTTGAGATAAACATGCACCATGACCTCACTCCACTCTCTCGACAATAATAAAAATACACCTCCCCACCCCTCCAGCCATGGTGTAAAACCATATATGCGTTTTTTTAATATTTAATATTTCCCAGAAAGCATGCTATCTGCATGGAGTGTGTACATTCTCCCCATGTTTGCCTGGGTGGCCTGGATTCCCCCCACAGTCCAAAGACACACTAGGAGGTTAAAACTGGCCCTCGTGTGGGTGTGTGTCCGCCCTGCGGTGGACTGGCGTGCTGACCACGGTATACCCGTCCTCTCGCCTGCTGCCTGCTGGGATAGGTTCTGGCTCCCCACAAACCTGAACTGGAAGAAGCAGTTAGGAAATGGAAGGATGGATATTTCCATGAAATTCATCCACTTCTGAAATCACAGCAGTAGGACAAGCAGAGGAGGAAATAAATGTTCTAACTGAAACATGGGAGAGGTTCGAGACCAGAAGAGCCTGCACTGAGCCTGCCTCGGCTGTGTGCTCACGAGCTAAATGCCTCAGAGAACTGTATCCAGCCCTTTTCTCGATAACTCTCAGAGTGTCAAAAGCAATCTGTTTGGTTTGTCTGCTGCAGACTCTCACCACTCCAACAACTCTCTGTGGATTTAACCAAATTTTCTGCTTTCACTATAAATGTGCCCACTTCAAGATTTCCACTTCTACCCTACTACAGTGTGCATCCTTACTAGTTAAGTGCAATGCCTCAGATGCAATGCACGTCTGCACAATGCACTTTTCGCATGTTTTTTTTTTCACTACTACATATTTACTGTTCTCCACAACATTTTTATTGTTCTGGTTGTAATTATTTATTATGTTTTTAATGTACTGTCGACATTTAATGGTGTTGTCTGTCGTACTGAGTCATCTGTTGTACTGTGTGTGTCTCGAGAGATCAGGGTGAGTAATATTTCCAATGTACGTGTGCAAATGGCATCAGACTCCTCTACTCTACTCACTCTTCTCCCTGATCTCTAGTTCCATCGTGGATCTCATCACCATCAGTAATTGGCTGACGTTATCAATTCCAATTCTTTAACCATATCCCCTCAAAATCTCTTCTCTTCAAGACTGAAGATGTTCAGTCTGTCGGGCCCCTTCCTCGCCACAGTGGAGCTCAGTGAAAGTTCCCCCCGTGTGCACATGGATGCCGGGGGGGGGGGTCGGAGATCCACACGCCCACGCAGCGGAGCCGGGGAGCAGGGAGCCCAGCAGCGCCAACTGCGGGAGACAGCGGGGGCCGGCGGGCAGGCTGACACAGAGATGCTGTCCGTTCGAATCAGCCCAGCACCTGAATACAGATGGCCAGGCCTGACAGGCGCACACACACACCACTTCATTCTCTCCGGCTGCCCTGCAGCCAGGAGGAGCACCAGATTAACACAGACATCACCACCCTCATCAGAATGAGACGCAACAGACAGGGAATTCATCCAACAATGGGATCTAGTCCATCACGCTTTTTTTCCCACCCTGAATGTACAGAGTTGGAATATTTGTTCCTGAACCTGATTCTCTCCCATCTTCAGGTATTTCATTACCTAAAAAATGAAGCTCCAGTAATCCTGGGTATTAATCTCTCCCTTGCTAATCCCACTGTGTCCGTGGACACCCGGCCTCGCGGTGTAAATACTGTCTGACTCCTGCTCCACCCCTGCGTACTGCCACAGAACGGGTGGAAGTTCACCCAGTCAACACCCAGGTGGGTGCCAGTGAGGGTGCTCAGTGCAGGGGCTGGGGGGCGGGCGCGCAGTGGACGGCACACCCCTCATGACTAATGCGACAAGCACATCAGCCCCTGCGAGCAGCTGCAGATTAAGCTGTTTGAGCAGCGGTGGCTCTGTCACAGCAGAGTGGCTGAATTATTCTGATGCTACGCGGAGTGCTGGGGTGCATATGAATGTCTTCCGCGCCGCGCTGCCCTGTGCCCAGTAATGAGATAACGTCTGCAGATGCCGACATCGGGAACACCCGAGCTGATGGGCTGTGACACACTGGACGGCGTGCCTTTAATTCGAGTGCACATGGAAGGCCCTTCTACGCCTGGGAACGTGGTGTCATGCCCGCCTGCCAGGCAGTAGTCACAGCGGGAATGTGCAGTATCCAGCCTGGAACCATCCACACCCACCCCCCCCCAAGCAAGATGTTCCAGCCAAATCTACACCTTTCTCCACAACCTTCTCAACTGACGGGAAAGGTGACAACTGAGCTGAAGTGTCCCTTACTGAAACAGTGTGAGCACTGTTCCGCCCGTGCACACACACACACACAGAGAGAGAAGGCTTTCAATTCTGCTGCTTTCTTTGGCCCAGTCTGGCCAGAAACCAGAAGGAGTTTCGCCATGGCCTTTCAGGACTGGCCAAAGAGCCTCTTCCACCACAGAACCACCTGGAGGGACTCCTGCCGGGCCTAAGCCCAGTTCGCAGGAGCTGCTCTGGAGGCGGAGAGGAGCAGGAGGAGCCGCTCTCTGCCTCCGGGCTGCGCGGGGGTCCCATGGGGGTCACCCCATATCCACCACGGGCTGCCCCAAGCCAGAGGCCCGCACCTGAGACAGACTGGAGCTCCTGCTCTCAAGCAAACGCTTATATCAGCTCAGACTCGCCAAAACACTTCATTTATATTAATTCATTGGGCTCACAGCTATTAGGGTATCCTAAGTCATGGTTAACGCTGACACTCACAACACCTTTCAAGTAGGATACAATTGCTTAAAAGGTCATCTGTATTTAAACGCTGATAAGTCAAATTGACTGACCGACTTATTGATCAACTGAGTGGCTGATGAGTTGATTGGAGGAGCTCTGGAAAAAAAACGCAGACACCAATAAGCTCCATCTCCCACAAGACTCACATTCGCACTACGGTCCCTAAAGAACGAAAATATCTCAAATCCATTTTCAGGTGTGAATTGCTTTTATTTATTGACACAAACGGGAGCTCACCAGACGAGCTACATGAGCTGAATGACCTCTGCTGGTTTATAGCCCCAGACCAGGAGCCTCTGCTCAGCCAGCACTCTTTACCAAACAGCCTGGGAGCTGAGGGCTGAAGACTTGGGCAAGGGCTGGACTGTATCCCTAGGAGAGGGGAGCTGGACTGTATCCCTTGGAGAGGGGAGCTGGATTTTCGCAGTCGCTCCATGAACCCCTGCACTCCGAGAAGCTGCGGAGCTCAGCGTGACCACCTGCCACTCTGCCCACACAGCCTGTCACTCCAGCTTATCTGCAGCTAAACTTGGTCTCCCAGCCCCGCTTCTATAAATATGAGTTCCCCCTTGGGAAGCCCCCCAGCCGAGAGAGCTGCACAGCCTCCTGAGGGACATGGCTCACTCCTGCGCTGCTGGAGAGGCCCAGGGCTGCAAAGTCTTTCTGTTTCACTACGCGCCTCCAGGGACGAGAGCCAGCAGACTGGATCATCAGAGGGTCAGGGTGCCTCCCTGCCACTCACTAAACCTTGGCTGAGCTGGCTGTATGAACTGAGATTTTTAAAGGCGGAAGCCCGAAAAATGATATCGTATATCTGAAGGAACATGTCCCCTGAGTCTGGGAAAGGACTTCTCAGCTCTCGGCTAGATCCCACTGAAAGAACATAAGATGTCGGTCATGCCGTTTAACTGAACTGGTTTTCATGTAAGTGCTTAGAGGATCTCATCCAACTGCTTCTTGACAGAAACCAGGGTATCGACTTAGACAACATGGCTGAAGCCTGCTCCGGGCTCAGTTTAAACTCTGTAAAGAAGTGCCTCCTCTGAGTCTGCACTGCCCTTCTATTTTAAAATTCATAGACAGGCAATGCAATTAGCGAACTGCATTTAATCAGTCAACAAGGTGTACGTGCCAACAGGACATTTACATCTAAGATGTTGCTCTGCATCTGCTTAGCTTGTTCTGGACAACCCTTGCATTACACTTTCAACTTTGTACCAGGCATACTGTCATTTTATTTTACTGCACTTGTGCTGTAGTGCATACATTGTAAGCTGCACTGTATTAGGGCCTGTGCAAAGCAGACATCGCCCGAGATGAGCTGTTCCACCAAGACTGGGTCTCTTGCAAGCAGCAGAGGTGAAAACGGCAGCTTAAAATGCCTTCGTCTGTCCTAAACAGAGGGGTAACAAACAGAAAAAGGGGTGAACCCCCAACCCCCGATTAGGTACATGTCTTTGACTACTGCAGCTCATTGGCCTGCAATAACTGAGAGATTGCCTCTGCTTCTCCAGCCTCTGCTTCTCCAGCCCCTGACAGACAGCAGGATTAACACAGCCAGCACAACAAGCAATGCTGATTGAAGTGCTGTTCTATCATTATTATGATTAACTGAATACAAAATTACCCAGAAGAGTATTAACACCAAAACATTTTTATTTATTTTTTACTGTTCTCAGCTATTAACTTACGAGACAACATGCGGGAGATTAAATTGCCTCAGTTCTCAGTTCCCCCTTCCTTTTATTTCCAGCAATAATGCTTGACGTTGCGCTGCTAGGATCTCAGGACACGTATTACACAGCTCTGCCTAGATGGCGTTAGCATGAGTACAGTGGATAAAAATGTAATCGAGGGAGAAACTGAACACAAGCTCTAGAGTGCTCTTAAAACAACCTTACAGAATAAATCTCAGTTACAACACCACTCCACTACGAATAATTGCAGCAGAGATCTAATTCAACATCAGACATTCATCAGTATAATAATTAGCAAGAAGACAGGAGCTACGACATTCTTAACACATGCTTTATGTTTTTGCAGACTGCATAGGTTTTTCGGTAAAACTGCATTTTGAGAAGTGCCAGGGTCTTATACAGTGCAAATGTACTGTTGGTGGAGCGCTGTGTCTCGCACACTCTGCTGTAAGCTGGCCTAGTGAATCATCTGCAGTGAACATGAAGAACATGAGAAATGTTACAACCCTTTGTGTCAAAACATGTCTCCTGTTCTCAGTTTTAGTGCACTTAATAATAATAATTATTATTATAATTAAAAATAATAATTGCTTACACTTATATAGCGCTTTTCTGGACACTCCACTGTGAGCGCTGTACAGGTAATGGGGATCCCCTC